GATATTTGTGCTTGAAGATGTCATGAGTTCTTGTGTGAGTAAAGGCTATGTTTTCCAGATGGGATTTAAGATTTTTTATTTTGTTGACCAATTTATTAAATGCATGATAATTTTAAAAAGATATTTCGAAATATAACCATTATAAGAATGCCTCCGTCCAAGTGGACGGAGGCACGGAGGAATTTCTCCATGTGGACGGAGGAATTTCTCCATACCTCCATCCAAGGACGGGAGCATGGAGAAATTCCTCCGTCAAGGAATTTCTCCATGTGGACGGAGGAATTTCTCCTTGCCTCCGACCTTGTTTATTCTATTTAGAAAATATTTCTGTTCAATTTTGAATATATTATTCACATATCCAATTTTGATTCCCCAATTGTTTGCTACTAAATGCAGCCTGAGTATTTGTTGCTTTATATTTTGAAGTGCATTTGATTCCATAATGATGCTCTACAGATGTTGTGATTTAGCTAGAGTTTGTATGAAATAGTCGATGACACGCTCAGCTTAAAGCTATCGCAGTCTAAGCCAAGAAGATACATACTTTACTGTGTTAGTTTTTGGTTCAGTGCTTAATGAAAAACGTCATGCCTACAATTACTATGGCTGAATTCAATGCATTATGGAAAGAATTAATTGTATTCTCTAGAAATGATCGTTGACTGTAAGACATGGAACTCCGTCCACTAGATGGACATGTCCAGCGGACGGAGTTCCATGTCTCCAACAGTGTCTCCATGCCTCCGTGCTGATGGAGATTTTTTATTATGATTTTCATGTATACATGTATTTGATTTTCATGTATTTTGAATGTCGGGTTATTAGACAGAGGCTTATAGTCAGAGCTACAAAGAATGATACCAACGAAAGTACGCTATTCTTTCCTATTGCCTTTTTAGACTTGTTTAGTAAATTTGTATCTTCGTGTGTTTTTTTTGGAGCTTCCGTTTTTTCTCCCTACGTTCATCTCTCCTCTAATTTTGTCAACCAACCTTGTTTTTGGAGGATTCGAAGTTTCGTTAACTGGCGTCTGAGATTGAGAAAGAGATTGCTGTGAAGGTATTTTTCAATTTTTTGCTGTGGAGGTATTTTCTATTACCGTCATTCTTAAACTCAATTTAATTACTTATTTTCGGATTTTAGTTAATTTAATTGGTGATTGTTGAAATT